TTTACAAATACAAATAACTAAATAGCTAATAAGATAACATAATTATAAGAAAACATAAATACTAAATTAAAGATTATATTTTAAATAAGAAAATTATATTACTCAATTAATATTTTAGTTTTAAGTTATTTTAATTAAACTAAATTATTAAAACAGACTCGCGCGTAGCGCGAGTATAAAATCTAGTCTATATTATAATAGTTCACTTCTAAGACTCCTAAAGCTATCCACATCATCAAGTTTGTAGGCCCCGCGTGTTTAAGTTTTAAAAGTTTATAGTTTTTTTTTTTAAATGACTATGAACAATGAATACACTTTAGCAAAGTGGTATAAGACATTTAATTAAGTCTGCAAGTGTGTGGGTTCAAACTTCAAACCACGCAGATGTTATGTATTTTAGTTTTTTCGTTTGGATTATTATCATATGGGCTTTTTAGTTTTAATGTTTTTATGTTTTTTCCCTCTGGACTTATTGTTTAAAGTCCAAAATAGTGGAAAAATCCTAAAATTTGACGAACTCAAACAAAAAAAAAATTAAAAAAGGATCAAAAAACGATCAGCCAAAAAAAGAAAAAAAAACGAGTCTCACGCGGCACTATCATGTCCTAATATGTATTTTTACTGTTAGAACATATTTCCTAATATATATTTTCAAAAAATTATGTATGTGAAATAAAATAAAAAAATATTTTTGTTATTTATAAAATAACTATGTAATTTCTCTTCAATTTTTAATAGTTACTATAATTTCATTTTTATCAGACTCCGACGGATGGATTTCCACAGTCGACGACGCCGTAAATAAAAATACCAAATTATTCATGAACAAAATCCAAACTTACAAAAAAACATATCCAAACCTATCTATTGAAACCCAAACAACAAATATTAGCTTAAATTAAAGTTATTTTCTAATTGATAAATCGTTTAGTACAAATATAAATACTATAAATAAATATTTATATCAAATTTTGACATCTGATATAAAAACTATTTAATTCCAACATAAAAAAACAATATAGACATCTATTTTTATACACTAATAACTATATTATAATTTAGTTATTCCTATAAATCTTATTTCGCATATAAATAACATTTAACACATTATATATACAATATTTTAACTTTGCACTCTTGCTACATTCTTTCTATTTCATCATTATTTGGTATTATTAGAATAACCCACTAAACCAATAACCGAAAAAACACAGATCCCGACCCCGCGCTTGCGTGGGGGTTATGCAGCTAGTATTAACAAGTTATTAAGCACATTTAAAGATCCATGGTTGTCCACCTAAAATAAAAAGATAAATAGATGGTTCTCCGGTCCTTAAATATTCTTTTAATTTTTAATATATTATATTTTAGTGATTAATATTATCAATAGTTAAATAAAATTCTTAAACCTTCCAAAATCAATAAAAATACTATTTGACATATAAAAAAATAAAATATTTTTGAATAATATAACAATATGTAATCTAATATAAATATTAAAAGTATAATAAGTTTTGATAAATGTTATCTGTCAAAGTAGTTTTAAGAAAAATATAACAATAAGT